TTCATTTTCAGTGATTGAGATTTATTTACATTTATTAAAGATAATTATATTTTTCACTTGAAAAGTTGTGATAAATCTCAACCATTGAAAGTGGAGAGATGAATAATTAAGATTTTGTATAAATGTGATATATAAGATAAATTTATTTACATTTATTAAAAATAATTATATTTTTTACCTAAAAAGTCGTAACAAATCTCAATAATTGAAAGTAAAGAGATGGATAGTTCAGATTTTGTACAAAACTTATGTGTGAATAAACCCTCTACTTGTTTTACATAAAATCTTAATTATTTATCTCTTTATTTTCAATAGTTGAGATTAATCATGATTTTTTAAGTGAAAAATATAATTATATTTAATAAATATGAATAAGTGTCAATTATTAAAAGTGAAAAGATAAATGGTTGAAAATTTCTGTGTGATGTGTAAAATTTGTATATAAGTGGATTGTTACTTATATATAATGAGATTTATCATAATTTTTTGATTAAAAAATATAATTACTTTTAATAAATGTAAACAAATCTCAATTATTAAAAATAAAAAAAAAATATGATTGAAATTTTTATAAATATAATATGTAAAATTTATATTTAAATGAACATCTACTCATATATATATATATAAATATGTTTGTGTTTAAAATTTTTTTGGTAAGACGTGTAAATTCACATTCATCTATTTATTTAATGGTTTTTGCTAATCAGCGTTTTTAACTGACATTGTCCGTAACATTTCTTAAATTGTCTCTATGCCTGGGGACAAGGACAACCAGGCATTTTCAGGAAAAGGGGAAAAAGAAGGGAAGTGGACTGCTACTTGGCGTGACAATGACTGCAATGTCTGTGTTGGGTGGGAAGCTTCTTTACTCCTTCGTCTAAGAACGGGACAGGTTGCTGTCTGGGGCTAATAAATGACAGCATACTGGGCTATATATTGTGTACATAAGGTTTGGGTAAGCTTCCTTCCTCTTCCTGTTGGCAGAAGGCCTGTCTCTGTCTCTGGATCTGTCTGTCTCTCTATGTGGGTTTCTTTTTCATTGTCTTGCATTTAGATGATGCTTCTTTCAAGGTATTGATTGCAATTGACAAATTACTGGCATATTTGGTTTCCTTTTGGGGTGATGGAGTTTATAGGAAAGCTCATTTTAAGAAGTCAGAACTAATTACTTGGTTAATTTGTGTGGGAAGAGAAAAGGATCAGAGTTTGTTTCATAAGTTGCTTTTGAAGTATTAACTTTTAGGTAAATAATTAATACACTATCTAGTTTGATACATCTTTCGAATTTAATCATTAAAATATAATATAAATATAGTTGATTTAATTCATTCTTGTATTATGTATGCATGATTACATATTTAAATTTGTATATTTTTAATTTCAAACTAAGAAACGATAATTTTTCTAATAAATATGTTATACAGTATATTAAATCAAAAAGTGCACCAATAAGTATCCTTTATGATTCTTGGTTTTTTGAAACTCAATGTTATGTTCCCCTTTCATTTGCCATCAATATATACTAATACTACACTCATTTAGATTGCCATTTCACACTGATTCTAAGACCTAAGGTTGCACTTAGGACTTCTACACCATTTCATTTGCCATCAAGATGCTTCTTCCAGACTTTCCATCTTCACTACTTACACTTCGATAGAGAGGGTAAATTTTGAGCATGTAATGTGTACACATCTAATTATGAATTATATAATAAGACAACTTTTCTTTTTTCTAAATCCCTCTTCATCCAATACAAAAACTTAGGACTTTAAATTTCATTAGGACTTTAAATTTCATGGTCCTAGTAATTGAGATTCGTAAGGCGATATGTACAACATTTTCCTCCAATAAAACAATTTGTCATCTAGCTTTTTATATGAATCTTGAGGAGAAGGGTTATTATATTGTATATTTTATCTTGAAAATTAAAGAGCTGTATATAAGTTTGGATTTAGTGATGATGGTTGTCTTGTACTATCATCCCATATTTTTATATGTTTAAATTATAAAGTGCATGTTGTGGTTTGATTGGAAAAGTGATCAGGGTGGTTTTTATGACCATTATTCAAACACCATGTCTTCTACTTCATAAGTTTTCTTATGCACTAGGGTGTCTGTAGGACACCAAACTAACCTATAATCCTACAAAAAAAATATTTTATCTATATATTATGATTTAAAGTGTATGATTTTACAATTTGAATTATACTTAATTAGTCATTGGATGAGTGGGGTTTGCTCTTCATAATCAAGGGGTTCCTATTGTCCTATATTTTGCAGTTTAGTATAGTTTGGAATGCAAAACTTTCATTTTTAGTGATTTTTTATGTATATCCTTTTCCTGATGGGGGTCCGTCCCTTTTCTCCTCCTCATTGCCATAGCTTCAACATTCCAAGTTATCCTCTCTTTGGTTTTTGTAGGTTTTCTAATGCAGCTGCCTCTTATCTGCATCTCTTCAATCTCCCAGTTTTGACTTTCGATTTTGTTTATTCTTGAATTCTCTGACAAACACAGTAGAAAACTAGATGTTCATAAGAAATTAGGACTTATCTATATATATATATATATATATATAGATCTTTTAGTTTTACGTACAGATTGAAGTCTGTTGTCATGACTCATGACTAGAGGAAACACAAGAAGCAAAGTATTAAGCATGCATGCCTGAAAATCAGCCTTTAGATTCAGAAGTTAGACATGACTTCAGAGCAACAGAGAGTGAGACGCAGAAAAATTTATTGATAGTGGAGTGAGAAAGGCTAGGCCTTTATCTGCATGCTGTACTCACCTTTTTCTTGCTACAAAAAGTTAATACTAACCCTAACATACAAACTGATGCAAAATCTCCTTCTTGAGTACTAATTAAATTCAAGTCCTTCAATTTTCTTCACAATGCAAGTCAATCCAATACATGGAGACACATTATGAAAACACACACAATTAATGGATATCAAACCCATCAATTTTTTTTTTTTTACCTTAATTAAGGATCGATGTCCTAAGATATCACAAAACAACCACAATTTCCTCGGCTTAGCTTCTCCTTGGTCATGCATTCATAACTGCATGCAATCCTTCCTTCAAAAGAGAAATATTGTCACACTTAGATCAAATCGCTTCTTACGGTTAATTACTTATCTCCTGCAATGTTTTCGATCAACTTACTGATTTTCTCCCTTGTTAAGCTTCAACCCATAATTTTCCCACAAGTTCTCTCCATCAGTCATCAAGAACCTAAAGCAGCTATCATTCACTGCATTACCAATATTAGAATTTGGTGGAGAAGTCCCAGCTTGATCATTGATTTCGCAGTAACCTCCTCCTGTTGGATTGTATATAGACTCATTGTTTGAATAATAAGGACCAGAAATTGAAAACTCCTTGCTTTTCTTTTTCTTCAGAAAGTTGTTTATTTCATCCCATTTCTCTTTGCACATTGAACCACTCTTCTCATAGCCCAAGCAAGCCAACTTTGAAGCTATCTCCTCCCACAGAATCTCCTCCGAGCACCCTCCACTTTGATCAAACCTCAATTTCATGCTGCTTCTCAGTTGAATTAGCCTCGTAATCTCAGCTTCCCCCCATCCGTCCTCCTTCCCGGAGTTGTTCATTATCTCACTTCCATTCTCATTCTGGTTTTCACTGTGGTTTTGAACTTCCCCCACCATTAGCTCCTCTGGTGAGGAAGCCTTAACCTGTCTTCCATTCAAAGTCTGCAATGCCTCCATCAAAGCAGCATCTCGTGCTTCAATCCATGCTCTTTCCTTAGCCCAAAACTTGTGCTCCCTATCTATTCTCTCAGCTTCCTGTTTCCTCCATTCTTCCTCTCTTAACATCCTCTCTTGTTCCTTTTGCTCGAGAGTCTTTGTCAGTCTCTCCAACCATGCCTCTTGCCTCTCCATCAGCTTCCTCATTTGCACGTCTATAAACTCTTTTATCTTCACCTTCCAGCTCCTCCCACTTCTCCTCCTTTTCCTCGAATCATTCTCCATTCCCGCAGCAGTGCTCAGATCATTGTCATCCGAAGAAGATGTGTGGAAGTCGGATGAATTATTGGAGAGGCTGAGGCTGTCACACAGCTTTTGAGAGTGATACCCCTCTTGAGTCGAACTGTTGGAGTTTGGATTACCATGAAACCGGAAACTGGTTCCAATAAGGTGATCAGATTCCGGTATTGGAACTGAACTGCTGGTGTCTCCATAGAGAGCTTCAAGTTGCCGGAAGAATCTATAATGCTTACCATCTTGTCTTCCTGCTTTCCCTTCTTTAGTCTTCTTATAATACTTGTACAAGTTCTCAAACTTCTCCCTACATTTCTTTCCAGTCCTTTGGTACCCATGTTCTTCTGACATGATTCTGCATCAAATAAAATTTCTAGATTACAATTAAAAAATAAAATTAATATCAATATAATCAACAAAAACCCTAATTCGAATTGCATAAACACATCTTAATCACAAGAGATCAATTCCATGTGATAATAATATTTTTCCAGACAGAGATGGGTCTGTTCATAAGTAAAAGTCTTTTCAGAGATAATATATATGGAAGGTGTAAGTACTTAAGTATGTCAAAGGCCATCCATTTTTATGGCAAAAATATGAGTGGAAGTTGCACGAGAATGGAGGCTACAGATTTTCAAAGCAAAGGAGGTGGCAGTTGAGAACTACTCAATAGAATCAGCTGGACCCTTAAAGGAAAATGGGTTAGGGGAAAACCACCTACTTCTGGCACTGAACACAATTTCTGCTTCTTTTTTTTTTTTTTTTTAATGGGAGAAGTATTTTAGGATTAAAGAAGAACCAAGCGTTTTAGGAGAAGAAGCAATTTTTGAAAGAGAAAGAACAAAATAACCAAGGAAGAAAAACATGAAGTTACTGAATTTGCTAGATGTTGATTAAAGAAGAAAAAAAAAAAAAACTGAACTTGCTAGATTCTGGCAAAAATTTTGCAGCAAAGGGAGGGGGTAAAATGAGAAAGATGGTATCTTTAGAGGATATACAAACTTAGCTGCCCTCTAGGAGGGGAGAATTAGGGTATAATTTCAGCAAGGAGAAAAAAGAAATGGGTATGGTGTACCTCGATACTTCATCCCACAAAGGACCCTTTTGATTAGCCTCCTTGAACTTGGGATCAAGACGAGATCTGATCTCAAGAAGTGTTAAAGTCTCCTGTCTTGGCCATCTTCCTGTCCCACCATCACCCCCAAACCCACCGCCTTCCCCGTCAAACCCATTCACACTACTTGGAGTTGAAGCACTAGTGACAGCAACAGCAGCAGTGGCGGCGTTAGCACTAGATTCCACTGGAATCTCGTGCAGCCCTAGAGGCAGCAAGTCACTCATTTGACGAGTACCCACCATTTGCATCATCTCCAAATGATGGTGAGGTTGTGGCAGCAGATTCCGGTGGCCGGAAAACAACTCGGAAACTTGTGGGATTGGTTGGAAATGCGTTGTCGGCCTACCGTTGATGAGTTGCCTGAGATCCGATAAGCCATATTGACGATGATGATCCTCCATTTCCATGAAGATTGATGGAAAATGTCGAAAAACCAAGAAATCAGATAAAGGGTTTGAGAGAAGAAAAGAGAAATTTTGGGGCAGAGTTGGATCGTGTCGTGGAGGAAAAAGGCAGAATTTATGCACAGGACAAGCTAGGGACCCGTCTCCGTTCTGTTTTCAAATGTTATAATGTAAGTTCGTATCCATTATGTACCGATGTTTGTATTGCTTCTTTGAAGAGGGCCACTGTGTGAAGCGTGTGAGGGAGAATCACAAGACGATGGAAGATGGAATAGAGAGGAATTGTGAAATGCTTACTAATGTACAGTACTCCTTAGTATCTGTCTGTCTCTTTGACCGTTTTCTATTTTTAATTCACCTGATGATCTACAAAAGAAGGGTTAGTAATGCTCTCTTTTTCCGACTCGCTTACCCAAGATTCGTAATTTCATATTAATTTCTTATTTGTTAAGGGTGGTAATCTTTTAAGGGCTTTTATGTCTTATTTCTTTCCTTCACTTTGCTACATATTGAGGTGAAAAAATGAGAATTGGTTGGCGGTCTGGATTTTGGAGTTGTAAGGCCGACTGCCGAGTACCTTTCATGAATAGTGGAGGAAGAGTGCATGGGCTGAGGGAAAGGCGCACCATCCATAAGTTTTAAACAACTTAAAATTCAAACTAAACCTGGCCTCTCTCTTCTAACTTGCTCCACTCTTTCTTGATCTCTCTTTGCCCCGACAAGCTATTGCCTTTATCCCTTCATCAGCTAGGAGATGATGAACAAAGGTAGGATTTTTTGTATTTTGAGTTTCTCTATTTATTGTGTTCTTTTTTCAAATTTTTGAGATCTCTGCCTTGGCTCTCTGATGTATTTTTATCAAGTTATTCCTTAGAGTGAAGGACAAAGAGACATGTCATGGATTTAAAATTAGCCGAATTTAGACTGATTACAGCTTAATTTGCCTGTTAAAAACATGGTTAGAGCATCGGATCTCTAAATTAGACGCACATTTGGTTAGTCCTCTCTAGGTATACTATTCTCTTATTGCAATGTGTTTGTGTAATTTTTGATAATTTATAATTCTTTTTACTTAATTATTCATATATATCATGAGTAAAATTAATTATTAATCGTTAGTGCTTTGGGTTGAGGGATTATCTTTTCATAACATCTTTCACTTCATTATTAATGAATCTTATTTTCTTAAAGAAAGAATATATTCACACACAATTTTTATATGTTATATTTATATAAAAGTTTAATTATTTATTTTTTAATTTTAATAATTGAGATTATT